CAAGGCTGTAATCTTTACAGAAGTAGACTGCTACATCTTTCTCCTGTGGAATGGCTGGTGGGTTTGAACTGACGACCTTTTTGTTAGCACCCGAGTGTTTTTAACCACTGTGACACCAGGGCTTTAATTAGTTCCAGTCCATAGGTGACTATTTTCCCAACTGGAGGGATGGGAAGCAAATTTAGGGATTTTTCTCACTCCAACGAGTGCTGATCTCACAGATGATTAAGTGTCTGCCTTCATTCCCAGCAGCTCACTCAGACAAAAGGCAAGACCACCCCTAAGAGCATTTCCAAGGAGAGCTGGAAAAACATTATTTTGCCAAAAAGAATTAGCATCACTCAGGGCCTAGGAAGCTGGCTTGAAGAACAGGGAGGAAGTAAGAGATTAACCCACAATTGACTGAAAGTCCTTATAAATAAATCTCTTGGCCTTTGGTTTCCACACTGGTAACATGGAGGCATTTTTGCTGAAAGTGTATGAAGAAGACTGAAACAAGTCAATGGAATCTTTTGAATTGCGGGGTGGGAGAGCTGAAAGAAATGGTTATGAAAATGGGGTATTTTTATTATTGTTAGAGCTACAGGAACTAGTCAGCACTATTTAGCAATTAACATACTAAATAGATGTAATTAAAATATCTTGATCAGGACTTACCGTCACACATACCTATTTTTTAAGGGGTGAGAGTGTTGACAGCATTATATTACCAAGCAGTGAACCATTCCCTTGAAAACACTGAATGAAAATGAAAATGTTCAGAAGGGTGTTGGGCCAAGGAATTATTTTGTGTATTCATCTCCGGATAGAGTTCTGAGGAACAGAAAGTCAGGACCAGCCCAAAAGGCTTCATTCTTTATATTCTGGCAGGCCTGGGATGGGCTACGGGGTATCATATTTCATTGCGCTGACCTTAATAGGATAAGATGTTGGCTAATACAACAACAGCATGAGATGAGATTTAGGTGCTCTCAGGGGCTCATTGGGGAAAATGAAATCAGTCACTATAGTGACAGTCTAATTACGTAAGAATGGGACCAGCCGAGGGGTGCATATACCTTCCCTAAAGCAGTGGGTTTAGAAATTCCACCCTGTTCTCTTTTCAACTTTCAGAAGTTTTTCTGAAATTAAATTCACTCTGTATGAATCTTTCCAAACTCGATTCTTCTATTTGGAATGGTTACAGGGGATAGCAATTGATTTCATAGTTAGAAGGAAATTACAGTTAAGGTTACTGAAGCACTTAGGCAATTTGGGATATCACCTGTTCACACTATAGGTGAGTATGGTAAGATGAAGTCAGACCTGAGTTTGAATCCCAGCCCAGTCACATTCTAGCTGCTTAATCTTTAACAGGTTTCCTCACTTGTATGGAAAACTGAAGAAGAACTGATGCCTTTGAATTATGGTGATGGCAAAGAATATTGAATATATTGAATATACTATGGACTGCCAGAAGAATGAACAAATCTGTCTTGGAAGAAGTATAGCTAAAATGCTCCTTGGAAGCAAGGATGGCGAGACTCCGTCTTACATGCTTTGGACATATTATCAGGAGGGACCAGTCCCTGGAGAAGGACATCGTGCTTGGTAAAGCAGAGGGTCACTGAAAAAGAGGAAGACCTTCAAGGAGATGAATTTACATAATGGCTACAATAATGGACACAAACATAGCAACGATTGTGAGGATGGGGCAAGACCAGGCAGTGTCTGTTGTACATAAGGTCACTATAAGTTAGAACCAACTCAACAGCACCTTACAACAACAACAACATGGAGTTCAAATGTCTAATGACTTAAGAGCTATCACCCACATAACACCAGACACCTGCTTATCTTAGGAATACACCATTTATTTCTGCAACTCCCACTCGTAAAATAGACTCAACTGCAAACCCCATTTGATAACTGCCCTGTTCTCCACATCTACTGCCTGCTTACCATCTTGGAGATGGCTTACAGTTATTGCTAATCACAATGAGAAAACAATGCCAATGCCAAGTGCGGTAGTTTGCCCCCAAAATGACTCGAAGTCTTTGGGTAATTTGTTATGCAGCGATAGATACCAATACCAATTTTGGTATCAAGAGCAGGTTACTTTCATAACAAAACCCTGAAATGTTGGAGTGGCTTTAGAACTGGACAGTGGACAGAAACTGGAAGGACTTTAAAGAGAGTGTTAGTAAAAGTCTGAAGAGTCTTCAAGAAACTATTGGAAGAATCCTGATGGCCTTTGAGGAGCCTGTAGGTAAAAGTTTAAAAAGAAATGAGGAAAAAGCTATTGACAATTGGAGGAAAGGTAGTCCTTTAAAAAGTGCTATACAAAGTGGTCAAAAACTGGGGCCTCTTGCCAACAGCCACGTGAGTGAGCCACCTTGGAAACGGATCCTACTTTCTAGTCAAGCCTTTAGTAGACTACAGCTCCAGCCAACATCTTTACTGAAGTCTCTTAAGAGACCCTGAGCCAAAACCACCCAGCTAAGCTACTCCCAGATTCCTGTCTCACAGAAACTGTGTAAGAAAATAAATGTTTATTGTTTTCAGCGGCTAAGTTTTGGGGTAATTGCTATGCAGTAATGGACTAATATACCAAGGGTACTGTCTCTGGATGCTTCCAAAGATTCTAATTCCTGAGGAATCAAAGTGTTCTGATTTCTGTGCCAAAACCAAAAAAAAAAACAAACTTGTTCTCATCGAGTTGATTCTGACTCACAGAGGGGTACAAAAGATGTGCCTGATTTAGTCTGGCACACCTTGTCACCAGAGCTTCATATGGTCCCATTTTAATGGTTCCATCAGCTTCTCCCTCTAAACCCATCTCTCCACAGAGGGCTCAAAGGATTGTGAAATGTCAGATACTGAACTACACAATATGACAGTTTAACTTTCTGTTAGGCAAAATTCAGAACAAATAACAAAAATAATGAAAACTACCAAGACACCCTCCCCAATGACCCTGGACAAAAAAATGTCCTTTTAAGACATTAAAAAATGTTTTCATTGAAAAAAGATTTTCTAAATGTGATAACATTACGTTTGTGAAGACTAAATTGTTTCCTTTTAAGCCTGAGGAGGTAGAAATAACTAAGCAAGGAACACTACTCACTAGGTATACTAATGTTGATGTTTGAGTCGTCATTTGTTGAATTTTTTTTTCAGTACAGTGCATCAATCCCTGTTTCGAATACAAATGTAGAGATAATTTCCAGAGAAATGAACTGGAGAAAAACAGAAATGTGTATGGAATTGGAAAAAAAAATCCTGAGTTTCTTTTCAACATTCTATAGAATTGTTTTGAGGTTAAAAAACGAGAGTTTTCTAAAAAATAAGTAACAAAAGCTGCACAGAGATTAATCACACATTAACCATACATAACAAGTATTTAAAATAATTTTTAATCCCACCTCATCCACTGGTATTTTTGTGGCCAGCATCTGGCCATCCTAGTTAAAAATCATCTACGGGAATCAACGGAGAACAACCGTCATTCCATCCCCCTCCATTCTTCTCAACCAGACCTCAGCTTCTCCCCTGACCAGATCAAGATGTCCTTTCTCCTCTCCCAAATACAAAGCAAAAGCTCTTCTTTAAACAGAGAGACACAGACCGAAAAAAAGCCAAAGTGGTTGCTGGTGGATTCCAACTACCGACCTTTTGGTTACGCAGCCTGAGCTCTTAACCACTGCACCACCAGGACACCACCATCAACCAGCCAAAAATGTTCTGTATGTTTAAAATATTTAAAAAAAAATCTTCAGAGTACTAAATATAATTTGTGAGTACTAAATATAACTTGTGCCAGTAATAATAGCTAAAATTTAGTGGATACTTCTAGAGGGCTGGCACCTTTACATTTAACTCACAAAACAACTGTGGTATTATTATCTCCACTTTACAGATTTAAAAAACAGTGGAAAACAGTGGTAAATTAACCTGTCCATGGCCACAAAGCTAGTAAGTAATGTCACTAGGATTTGGTGGCCCCTCCCTCTGACAATAGATCTTCCAAAATAAAGTTTTAAACAGCCACATAACAATCTAGTCCAACTCTTGGCACTTTAGTATTGCTCAATAAATAACAGTCCCCTTCCTTTCTCTTATGGAGCCCAATCTCATTCCAGAGGGGCTCCTTAATAAAGGAAAATGACATGCAAACTGGAACTCTCACTGGACCAATACTGTCTCTTCCCACCTCACTTTACCTGACATCTCAGGCTAACCCAAGGCAGGCTGTTAGAGAAGGGCACAGAGGTTACCACCTTAGCGTCTCTGAGCCCCTATGAGGTAGGTAGGAGTGCAAACAGACTCTGCAAATAGACAGAGCATAGTCTTGCTCGGCCTAAAAATGTTTGTCTGCTCAGTCTGACTCAGGTTCCCAGAGCCTAGGAGAACAAACACAACAACCCTTTCCGGGCCCTCTGGCAATCCCAGGCGGCCACGTCCAATTTGGTAAACAACACTCTGCCCTGGCTCCTTGCAGGATACGCAGCAGCGGGGGACTGTGACGGGCGGCGACAAATTGGAACCAGAGAGACTGAAATACTAAAACAAAACAAAACCCGTTGCTATCGATCGAGTAGCTTCCGACTCACAGAACCCTGTAGGACAGAGCAGAACTGCCTCATAGGGTTTCCAAGGAGCGGCTAGTGGATTCTCACTGCCGAGCTTTTGGTTACCAGCCGAGCTCTTAACCACTGCGCCACCACTCAGGTTGACATCTCTAGGGAGTGAGTGGGGGAGGCGGGGCCCAATTCCCGTCTCAGGAGTGAGTGGGGCACTGGATCCATCCTCCTCTTCTCTGGGATGCTGCGAATCCGCCTGGCCGAGCTGAGCCCCGCGGGAAAAGCAGAAAAGGGCCATTGCCACTTTAAATGACTCAGGAAGTGAAAGGAAGCCGCCTGACAGTGATAGGGAAAGTAGAACCGGGGCGGTGCGGGGCCGGTGGCCGCCACGATCTCGCCGGGGACCGCCGGAGACCAAGCGGGCTGCGCAGCACGGGCGTCTAGGGGTGCGGGGGCGCGAGGGGAGGTGGCAGGGCGCCGCGCCGGAAGTGCCCGGAACGGCAGAGGAAGCGCAGCGGCGCGCAGAGCAGGCCAAGCCGGCGGCGAGGCCGCTTGCTCCTCGGTACGGACAGGCTGCAGGGAGCAGGCGGCGGCATCGGCCTCTGGCCCTCCTCCGAGGCACAGCGCGGCCCCAACGGGCGTTGATTCCCCGGGAAGGACCCCGTTGGGAGAAGAAAGTGAGGAGGCCGTGCGAAGGCCCTGAGCTTAGAGGCCTTGGGGCCTTGTTTGCGTCACAGCATCCACATGGCCTCGGGAGTGGGCGCTGCCTTCGAGGAGCTGCCTCACGACGGCACGTGTGACGAGTGCGAGCCCGACGAGGCTCCGGGGGCCCAGGAAGTGTGCCGAGAATGCGGCTTCTGCTACTGCCACCGCCATGCCGAGGCGCACAGGCAGAAGTTCCTCAGTCACCACCTGGCAGAATACATCCATGGCGCTGGGGCCTGGACCTCAGGAGCCAAGAGAGAGGGCGAGGGGCAAGATAAAGGTGAAGCCAAGGTAGAGAATGAGACAGAGATAGATAGCGAAGCTGGGGAAGAGAATGAGTCCGAGGAAGAGAGTGAATCAGAAGAGAGCGAGACGGAGGAAGAGAGTGAGGATGAGAGTGATGAAGACAGTGAAGAAGATAGCGAGGAAGAAATGGAGGATGAGCAAGAAAGTGAGGCAGAGGAAGACAACCAGGAAGAAGGAGAATCTGAGGCTGAGGGAGAAACTGAAGCAGAGAGTGAATTCGACCCAGAAATAGAAATGGAAGCAGAGAGAGTGGCTAAGAGAAAGTGTCCAGACCATGGGCTAGATTTGAGCACCTATTGTCAGGAAGATAGGCAGCTCATCTGTGTCCTGTGTCCGGTCATTGGGGCTCATCAGGGCCACCAACTCTCCACCCTAGACGAAGCGTTCGAAGAACTAAGAGTAAGTATTGGGCTTTCAGAGCATAGGCCTGGGTTTCAACTCAGGTGGCTGAGCTGTGGCTACATTCACTTACCTGTCTCTAAAAAGCTATTCAGCTTGTTGGGGAGGAGTGTTTATGTCCTTTTTTTTTATTTGAACCCCTTTGAGAATAAGATGAGAAGGCTCTGGATCCTCTCACAAGAAAAATGTATGTATACACAAAATCTAGTATATAATTTGTGGAAAAGTAAAAGCCTTTGGTCTGTGGATCCCAGATAAAACATTTCTTGCTAACTTAAAAAGCACCTCCCAGTGGAGTTGATTTTGACTCATGGTGACCCCATGTGTGTCAGTAGAACTGTGCTTGGAAAGGATTTTCAGTGGCTGATTTTTCCGAAGTAGAGCACAAGGGCTTTCTTCTGAGGCGCCTCTTGGGAGCTTGGACCCAACTTAAACCATTTCCCACTGCATCACCATTGTTTAGACTTGTGCCTTGACTTAGGGCTCTTGATAAGGCAACTGCTTTGCCTACTTGAAAACATGGGAAACTGATTCTGCCGAATGAATCCAAGCAGGTTATGTCTCGATAGTGAAATGTAGGGCTTGTAACCCATTCATTCTGGTGCAAACCTCTGCTGAGAATTTGCATTTCTAACGAGTTCTCTGCTAATTTGCATTTATAACTTGCCAGGAAGTTATACCTAAGAATCACTTGGGGATCTTGTTAAAATGTAGATTCTGATTTAGTATATCTGGAGTGGAAACAAACCAGTTTGAAGCCCTCAGTGAAGAGACTCCCTAAGATAGTGGTTTTGATAATGACTTTATGTGTGCTCTGAGTTCATTTTGGGTTCTTCAAGTTTGAAACTTCTCAGGGGGCTGAGAACGTGGAGGCCAAATTGGGATGAGGGTGAGGATTCCAATGTTCTCCATCTTTTACAAGAGAACATAGGCTTTGTCTTTCTTGGACCATAATGCTTTCCTAGAACAGTGTTTGGCAAGCAGTAGACACTTAATAAATATTTGTTGGATGAATGAATTTGCAAATTATTTGCCTTTTATTTATATTGTGATGTTTGCAATTAGAGAAGCTGCTGGAGTTCAAAGTTTGAGAGAGGCAAACAGTTCATTAAGTGATCAGTGTATTAGTGAATGTTGTTCTATCATGACTTACGCCCCTCAGCAACCTTACAGTTGTTGAAACTGGGATAACAAATACTTTGATAATGATAGTCACCTGTATTAAGGTTTTTCCTTTTTTATCCTTGTATTTTATGTAAAATACACATTGGGAAAGTATGGAAGAACATATGCATAGTCGAGTAAATAGTTATAAGGCAAGTTCTGATGTAACCTCCACTCAGATTAGGAAATAGAACATTACTAGCAATACTGAAGACCACCCCCCATACCTGTCTCCAATTATAGTCATCTTCCTTCCCCATAGGTAACCATTTCCTGACTTTTGTGGCGATAATTTCCTTGCTTATCTTTATACCTTTACCACATATTGTGCACTTCTGAACTTTTTTGAGCTTGACATGATTGGTATATTGTTTGCATTCCTTAGGGTTTTGCTTCATTTTCTCAACATTGTGTTTATGAGATTCATCTAGTGGGTGGCTGTGATTTGTTCATTTTCATTGCCGTAATAGAATCCATTTTATGAACATGCCATGATTTACCTATTCCATGGTAGATGAACATTTGATTCGTTTCCAGATTCTGGAGCTGTTATAAACAGTGTTGGTATAAACCTTCTTGTTCATGTTTTGGTGCACATAAACATACATTTATATGGAATATAAACCTAGGAGTGCAATTGGTAGGTCATAGACGATGCATGTCTTCAATAGTACTAAATGTTGCCAACTATTTTCCAAAGCAGTTGTACCAATTTGTATTGCTGTCAAGAATGTATCGGAGTTCCTGCTGCTTTGTATCTTCACCAACACTTGCTATTGCAGAATTTTAAATTGTCAATCTTGTGGATATGTAATGATCTCTTACTGTGGTTTTAATTTACATTTCTCTAATTATCGATGACTTCAGTATATTTTGTATTTCCTTTTTTATGAAGTGCCCATCAGATATTTTGCTCATTTTTCTATTGGGTTGTTTATCTTTTTCTCATTAATTTATAGGAGCTCTTTATATATTTGGTTCTGACTTCTTTGTTGGTTATATGGTTGCAAATATCTTTTTTCACTCTGTGGTTTTCCTCCCTCACTATCTTGCTGTCTCCCTCCCTCCCTGTCACCCTCTGTCTCTTTCTCTTCCTCCTCTTCTCTGTAATGCCTTCCTTTTTTCCTCCCTCCCTTTATGATTAGTGCTTCTTGTGTCTTATGCCCTGCGTCTTAGGCCCTTGATTTTTGTGTAATGGAGGTAGTGGTTCAATTTCATTTTTCCCCCATAAGAATAACCAGTTATCTAGCAGCATTAATTTTTACAGTATCCAGCAAAAATATTGTTTTCCACTGTTACTTAGGTTAGTTCTTTTCTTTCCTACCTCCTTGAATGTAAAGTTATTCACTTGTAATACAGTTAGATTCATTTGTCAGTGCTTATATTACATTTTGGGTTCCCTTACATCTTGGTGGACTTTAATTGTTTCTCTTTTTAGTATTTGAAGAGTATGTGAAACATTACTATGGTTCTGACACAAACACACACATTCTCACAGAGAGAGCTAGAGAGACAGTGACAGTTAAATAACTCAATGGGACAGTATTTTTCTTATTACATATGATGTATTCTATTTCTGTTCTAACCTGTTCAAAAAAATTTCTGGGTTCCCCTACTAAATTGATTTCATGGTACACTAATGGGTCACGTCCTGTGGTTTGAAAAGTACTGGTCTAGAAAATCTACATGGCAGCTCACCCTAAGATCACCTGAAGAAAAGGTGGAGTTTTATATAGTGGCAAAAGGAGAGGTAGTTGGCAGAACTCACTAAGTGCTTACTGAGCGTCTTCAGAGTTTTTATCATGGCTTTTCTGTGGACTCCTTGCCCTAGAGTGTGCCTTTAAGATGGGTACTTGGGGAGAAGACTGTTTGATTAAGCGATATTGGGAACAGCTGCAGAGGGGAGCCAGCGAGGAGGACAGGTAACAGCGTGGTTGGGAGGCTATAGGCCTATGCCCAGAACAGCTGAGACTCCAGAGGGGCTGGAGGTGGAGATATATGCCAGGGTGTAACCCTCATGGTCAGTGGCTCTGGTTCTCTCATCTGCTCATAAGGAAAAGGTCTGGTGGGGAGGCAGGAGGTTGAAGGTCTGCTGTAATGTACCTGTTTATAGTTTTTATTTCTTATTCTTACCTGAGAGGATTTGGGCACCTTCTAATAAAAGCATGAATCACTGACTACCTAGTGGTTCAATCAGTGTCTTATTTGTTTCTACAGAATATGATAAAAACTAAAACTAAGGTAAAGAATATGGCTTGATGTCACTAGTTAAGCCACCCCTAAATGGTTCTGTGGAAGTTATGGGAGGGCAACGGTTCTGGGTTTCCCCATCTCAGTTACCATATAAAATGTACATTTTTAGCCTATGCTAGAAGTTTAGTGAGCATGACAGATGGGGCTCTATCTTTCATGGAGTTTACCTGTAGCGGGGAGGGGGGGTAATTTTGGATGGTGTTATGTACTATGAAGACAATAAGTCATGGTAATGAAAGCGTAGTGTGGCAGAATAGGGTTATTTTTTGATAAGGTGGTCGTGGAAGGCATCTCTGAGCATCTGACATTTGGCTGGGGACCTGAACTATGAGATCTTGCGAAGATCTAGGGAAACCCTCCTATTGTGCAGCATTTGGTATTGCTTGTGCAGAGTCCAGTAATTTTATTTCTAGAGGAAACAATTGGTTTGGATCATATAACTTCATAGAGGGATTGCTTGGCTTTCGAAGTGAGAGAATGGCATTGTTCTAGCAGTTGTAGTGTGCTGCTAGTACAGGTGAAAATACTACTCTGTGGAGGGAATATGTGTTTATGGGTTTCCCTTTTAAAATAGTTAAACTTTTCAGGGGATTCAACATTCAGGGTGATGGAGCTTCATTGAGGAGAACCTGGAGGGCCTCTGCAGGCTTAAGTGGAGGGGAGAAAGCCATCTAATTGTGTTCTGTTTAGGGTGTGGACTCTTCCCACAATCTTCATTAGTAACATTACACTTTATAAGCTAAGAGTGAACAAAATGTCCACAAGAAAAGTGGTCAAAGCAGAAAGGATGGTGAATGCAACGTCTTTAAGGTAGAGGTGAACTTACGATGTTAGAGGGACAGCAAGAAGGCCATTGTGGAATAGACTGAAAGAGGAGTAGGAGGTGCCTTGACTGCACATTTGAATCACTCGTGGAGGGAGGTTGTTTAGGAAATATGCACGATTGGCCCCACACCAGCCAATTACATCAAAATCTTGATGCGTCTGTGTGTGTGTGTGTGTGTGTGTGTATGCATATTATGTATGTAAGTACATTTTTTATTTTAGAACAGTTTTAGATATACAGAAAAATTGCAGAGTACAGAGTTCCCATATAGCTCACACTGTTTCCCTGTTATGAACATCTTACTTTAGTGTGGTACATTTGTCACACTAATTAACCAATATTGATAAATTATTATTAACTAAACTCTGTATTTTATTCAGATTTTCTAAGTTCTTCCCCAGTATCCTTTTTCTGTTCTAGGATTTCATCCAGGATGCCATATTACCTTTCATTGCCATATTTCCTTAGGCTCCTCTTAGTTTTGACAGTTTCTCATACTTTCCTTATTTTGGTGACCTTGACAGTTTTGGGAAGTACTAGTCAGGTGTTTCGTAGAATGTCCATTTATTGGGATTTGTCTTACGTTTATCTCATGATTAGACTGGGGTAATGGGTTTTTGGGAGAAAGACCACAGAGGTTAGGAGCCATTCTCATCACGTCCTACTTTCAGCATAACTTATCTTGTTCATGCTGACCTTAATCACCTGGCTGAGGTAGTATTTGTCACGTTTTTCCACTTATAAAGTTACTCTTTTT